CCTTCCCACCACCACAACACACAAATATACTCCTCTGGGAAATGTGGGACTATAGGCAGCTTCTTCCTGTAAACATTAGTGGGTCAGGTTGATTCCAGCGAGAGCAGGCAAGGATCCAGTTTTCAAGCTATAGAAGGTTTTATAGATCAAGAGCATCACTTTAAATTGTATCCAGAAACCTGTGAGAAAGGACTTTAGGATCTGCAACATAAGTATTATGTCAGTATTGGGAATTAATACATTTGCAGGCCACTTGCAGTTTCTAAGTAATCTTTAAGGGCAACCCATGTAAATTGCATTGTAATAGTCTAATCAGGTGATAATGAAGGTGTAAAATAAGGTAAGGTTGCAATTGGTATACCAATCAGACCTGAGCAAAATTCCTTTAGCTTGGCTTCTACCACTGTTGAAACAGGAGCCAAAACTTCAGGAATATTGCTTGCATCTCTAGAGAACTAAAAGAGAAGTGTAATAAAGAAAGAACATCTCCAGCTTGCTTGGGCTTGGCTTTAGCTATTTTCTACTATTCAGATCCTTGCATCTTTCAGGCACCAGGTAAGATATCAATAACATCTCTTCTTCAAGCAGAATGGGAATGTAAAGTTTGTTATGTTCAACTTATTGATGAAGCTGCATCCCAAATTATCAGATAACCCCTTCCTGGGGTTTCATATAGACATTAAAAAAGTGGAGGAGAGAGGACCAAACAGTGCCATACATTCTACAACTTCAACAGGTGCCCTTTATGCTAACTGAAGTATTGCCTGGCTCATAGCCTCATTTCTATTTTGACCAGACACCCTAAATAGAATAAAGCAAAATATTTGAGTGTTTTTTTTTTACAAATGCAAAACATCCTGGGAATTTCTTTTTTTGGTTGCTTATCTGCTAAAAAAAATAGATGAGTTGATTCCTCCACCTCCCCTTTTTACTGTTCTTCTCATTAAACTGGAGCAAGCTCTTTTGTTTACATTATTGGGAGCCGTTGCCTGCCCTTTATCATGTTAGCAGCAGACTGGTGGGATACAAGTGGGTTCAGCATCAGTGCATGAATATAGTATCTTTTCCCTGGAAAAACAAAATATCTTGGTTAGGAACAATGATTAAAATTAATGGGATTTTCCAGGGCATGGAAGGCTTAAGAAATGTCTGCTTAAAAGATTGCTTATGAATCTTCCATTATGAACTTATCTAAATTCATATGGTGTTGCTGATGAAAGTGATCCCTCTATCACAACACTCTTCACAATACTGTCTTATTGGGTACCTTTGCTGCTCTCTGATAGTACACTGTCAGATTTTGCACTTCCATGCTGTACTGTTGAACAGCCCAGATTGTAGAGTGAAAGGAAGGGCAGAAAATAATATAACATGGAACAATTTGCCTCCAGAAGTTGTGATGCTCCAACACTGGAGATTTTTAAGAAGAAATTGAGCAACATTTGTCTGAAATGGTATAGGTGTTCCTGATTGAACAGGTAGTTGGACTAAAAGACTTCCAAAGTCCCTTCCAGTTCCGTTATCTCTTATACAGTTTCAATATTGATGTAAAATTCAATGAGAAAAATGCAATAGCAATGTATTGGGTAGCTTTTGGTTGTTTGGTCTGTTAAATTAAAGGAGTCATAAAATGAATGAATGCAGAAAAGCCCAAAATATGGAAATACTTTTAGTGTGATCATGTTGAATGTTGAATGAGTGTAAATCTATCCACTTATTTCAAAAACTAAATGATACTTTGGATGTTCTCTGTGAGCTTCTCTGGGCAACGCTGGCCAGTCACTCTGTCTCTGTTAACCTCTTTTGCAGGACTGTTGTGAGGATTAAATGTCATGCACTACCTAGAAACTGCTCAAAAGAAAGGTGGGAAAGGCAGAATTAATGAAATTAAACCATAGCTTAGATTTTTTTAAAAATATTATATACCATACATTACTCAGAAGAAACAAAGATGGTGGCTATGCTATTTTCTTTACTAAGATATATAACTGATTCTTCAGAATCATTCATACTCAATTAAAAATGAACCATGTGGTATAAATATTGTACATTCCAAGTCCTGGGAACACAATAACAATTATGTCAAACTTGATACTACCCTTATGTCAGCCTTTATTAGAAACTAGATAATCTGTGCCCATTGGGTCACTGTTTCCTTGCTTAAACAGAGAAACAGAATGGCAATGGGTAGGAAAAAAAAAACAGTAGGAGGAGGAGCAACTTCTGAATACCCTCCAGCTTCCCCATTTACTTTGCTGGTGGGAAGCTTGCAGGGAAAATGTCAGTGGAGAAGTCGGCAGGAAATTGCAAGTCTGAAGGAAGATATAGGTTGGAAAGGATGGACAGGGATGCCAAGATGTGTTGTGTGAGTCATGTAGGTGTGCAGGGGGTTGGGATGGGTCAAGAACAATGCTTGAAGGCTGCAGGGGTATATGAGAGATGCAGTGGTTGGGGATGATATGCAGGTGTACTTAGTGGGGATGGGAAAGAGTGCCTGGGAGTGCTTGGGAGTTTTCAATAGGTAAGGAATGGCATTTGGGGGAAGGTGCAGGTTAAGAAGGCTCATGATTTGATTAGGGCTTCCATCGGAACCCTGACAAAGGGTATGTGTTGGGGAAAGGGGCACAAGAGTGGTACGAGTTGAAAGGTTCCATGTGGGTACACAAGTGGAATACACATCAGGGAAGGCACATACCAGACAGAGTGAGTAAGGAAGTGTGCATGGTGAAGCACAACAACTGCCATATGAGTCAGAGAAGGTGTGTGTGGGTTGGGGAAGGTGTGTGTGGGATCCAGCGTAAGTTGGGGAAACTCATGGTGAGTACAACGGACTGGGAAGTGTGCAGAGGGGGTTCCTACCTCCCTTCCCTTCCTAGCAGGCAGGTAAGTGGTTGCTGCTGGGTGTGGGAGGAAGCGAAGGATTATGAGACTGGATGGGAAATTGCCACAGAACATTGAAAATGAAATCATGTGACTGCAGACAGTAACACTGAAGCAACCACAATTTTCCCAAATTTTATTTAGTTGAGATTATAGGTCCCACATTTTGGACACATTCTGTAAGTTACCCATTTTGAGGTACCTTGGTTCAAAAACTATTGTCCTATGAGTTTAAAGTAATAACAGCAAGAATTTTAGTAGTAATATAAAGAGTAAGACCAAGCTTGGCATAATTGTTATGTTCAAGGTGCTGCCACTTATGTCGTGGCATCTAACCAGTTTTTTTAGGTTAGCACTCCCCTTGTTAAGAATGGACTTTCATTCTAAAAGAAAACTGACTTGCAGAAATTGAAGCTCCAGTACTCTTCCTCTTTCATGTTTTTCAATCATCCTTGTTGATCAAAAGCAAGGGCAACAAGAAACAGCAGCAATCCACTAACCAAAAGGTAGACAATGTTTTCTCTTCCTCTTGGTGAAGAATCTCTTGGTCTGTGGCATTCAACTTGCAGGTTGCACAAGACATATTAATTGGAAACAGGAACCTGATTTTGATGACAAATATAGCAATATGATTCTAACTGATGTGCCACTTGGTTCTGCGCTGTAACTTAAATGTGGAAAGTATGGAATTTGTCTCTGTCTGTCTGAATTATTCTAGAAGAATGGAAAAAGTGGCAACTATTTCCTTAAAATTAAACAAAAACAAACAAAAAGTTGTGTAGAATCATGGTGGGGTAAAACATGTCCTACTAGATAAGCATCTTCTGGATCACAGAAGAACAACTTGGGCCTTTGGTTGTCAGGATGCCTTTGAAAAATGATATATCATAGCTGTAATATTGGACCAATATTCAATGGTCTTTTTTATTCTTGATTTTTTGTATGGGTTTCCAGTCACAAACCACACACATTCAAAATGCCAAAAGCTTTCACTTAACCTTCTACCCTGCCTTTCAGAGCAATTAATTATACGTTAAAAGAGGGCAATTTGTCATCCATTGTGGAATCCTGATTAGATAAAATCTCTAAATATCACTTTTATTTATTTAACTTTTAAACATGCCACCCAACATTTCTGAGTAAAACAGATGGGGATTTGTAACACCACTTAGCTGTTAAAATGTCTGAGGTATAGAGCAGCAATGATACTGAAGAGTAAATATAATATACAAAAAAGCAATTGATCCCAAAGTGCTAATAACTCTTAAACGTTATGATAGAGTTTTTATGGTTTAAATCCAAAATTACAGAAGTAGAACTTTTTTAGATTATAGGAGTTTGTCTTCCCTTCTCCTGCCCTTCATATCCCATATACCTCTCTCAGTTTTACATTCTGGAAAAAATTGAGAATCTTATGAGAGCTGAAGAGGAAAGTCCAGCAATTAACATGAACTATAATGTTTGATTTTATTTCTGTTTGATGCCAGTTTCTCTTTTTACTTCTGTTCAATCATATCTGATTCTTGGAAACTGCTGTGACAAGTCCCTAGAGTTTAATTGGCAAGGTTTCTCAGAAATGAATTGCCATTGCTTCCCTCCAAGGGCCAACAGAAAGTGACTGGCTCAAAGTTAACCAGCTGGCTTCATGTCCAAGGCAGGACTAGAATTCAGTCTCCCAATTTCTAGCCTGATGTCTTCACCACTATACCAAACTGACCCCCCACTCTCTGTCTCTGTCTCTGTCTCTGTCTCTGTCTCTGTCTCTCTCTTAACCTTCACACAAATGAAGATGTCGGGGATGAAGAGGACAAGAATGGACCTCTTTGACCATCATTAACTTTGAAGAGTCTGTTTTTTCTTGAATGAAGAAAAAAAAATTACAGGATGTTCAAAGAGGAAATTATAAGATCTTCCAGAACACATCTGATGTATGATTCAAGGCTGGCATAAATCAATTATTTGTATGGAGACAAAATATTGGACTTAAGCTCACATGGTAAAAAGAAAAAAAAGTTTCTCCCTAAAATATTTGCCTATTTCTCAGATATAACTTTGAAGCAAAATCCCCTTTGTTCCTTGACCTCCTTTGGCTTCTTGGGATGCAGATCAGATTGTCCAACTCTCTAATTCCTATTGGAAAAAAAATAGATTCAGTAGAGAATTTGCGAATGGTAAATTTTTCATTTCTATTAGTTAGATGAGCTTGTAATCAGGAAACAGGGTAAGAGGTTTTCAGGTTGGCACCCCAAAAGTTTGCACACCATTAGGAGTTAAACACCATGCCTGAAAATATAAACTCTACTTTCTTTGTGCATTCCATCAACATTTATGACACTTCTTTTTTCCCTATGATTCAGACCATAGCAGAGGTTACACAACCCTGACAGATTGAATCAACCTAATCCTGTTTTACTATTATTTATAGGAGAAAGAGTAAAGGAGAGAAGGATGACGTTTGAAGCTTCCATTTGGATCTGAAGTCTGCCAGGAATTAAGTCATGCTAATGAATTTTTCCTGTTTTTTTCCTCAGGTTTTATGCATCAGACTTTACATCAGGTGGCATATTAGACCATAGAGGAATCCTGGGATACTGGCTGTTTACCGGTAATGATGAAATCATACTTTAGAGAGCAGCTGTCTTTCTAATAAAATCCTTGGGAAACTGCCAACTCAGAGAGTGGAATTTTATTTGATACAGCAAACATGTTTCAAAGATAATGTTACATACCAAGCTCATCTGGTGAATGGCACCAAGAGTGATTATAGTGATAACTTGATTCATATTATAATGAAATTTAATCAAATGACACTTTCTAACTCTACATGATCTAGAATAGATCGAAGAATCAGTTTTGAGATGCAGTTTAGTGTTAGCCTTCCCTAACTATTAATAGTGCTGAACAAGGTCTTATATTTGTGTAACAAACTCTGCATAGATACACTGCAAGGTAGGATTCCAGTATTGGACTGGGATCAGGTTTCAGTCCCCATGACCATGGAAGCAAGTAAGCAACTTTGGGAAGATCATTCTCACTCTCAGCTCAACATCTCATGGGTGATCTCATGGATTGATCTCCTTGGGGGGAAAAAAGAGACAGATATTGTTAATAAATAAAGGGTAATGAAGTGGGGGAAAATCACTTCCAGAGATTTTGTCAGAGAACATTCAAACTTGAAGACTAATTTAAAACCTGGCTATTTCAAAGTTATTGTTGCTTTGTCCCATTGGAGGGGGGAGGGAGTCTGAAATTACACACCAACAGAAATGTATTGTGCCTACTTTGTGACTACAAAAATGTATCTTGCAGCCACAGAGAGAAATCAAAGAGAAATCCAATTGTTTTGTTGTTTTTCTGCTTATCTCTGGTTATAAAATAAGGAGAGAGTCAGAAGAGTTAAAGGGCACCTTATTCGGTAGCACCAGCTAACAGGCTGTGTGGTTGATCTGAAGAGCTAAGCAGGATCAACCCAAGTGCTAAGCAGGATCAACTGTGATTAGTACTTATGTGAATTCCCCAGTCACGCATCTTAGAGTTGCCAAATTGAGAACTGAAAAAGATATACCTCCACATGAATCCATAATATCTGTGCTTTTTTTTTTTTTACTAGGACATATAAACATATATTGAGTGGAAAATGACTGCCATTAAATGTCTACTTTTTGACCTGCTGTTCTTTGTTTAATCTGTAAGTGGTTAGTTTAGCAGTTTCAAACATCATATTTATGCCTTTGTCATACAGGGATTATGTTAGATGTGGACTAGATTGAAGAGGCAGGACAATGGTAGGAGGGAAGGATTTCTTTATTTAGCTCTGAACAAAAGATTGCCGCCCGGTGTGCCTGCTGCTCTTTTTACAGGTGGCTGTCCACAATTTCAGCCACAGATGGCTGTTCATTTTCCCGCCTAGAAAATGAACCAATGGGGGAAGTCTGACATCACTGACTCTTCCCATTGAATATCTAACACCAGGTTAAATTACAAGTGTTTCAAATATGAATGAATAAAAATATCACAGGCTAAATAAATATGTGGAAGTTCTAATGGCCAGACTACTTTGTCTCAAATATAATTAATAGTTGAAGAATTCATTTATCTCCTTTTAAATTGAGGGGGAAAAAAATCACAAATTGAGATTGGATTTACCAAGATAGAACTTTTGTTGTGGGCATGTCAAGTATAATCACAATTGTTTTTATTTTTTATTTTTCTACCTTTCATATAGATTGTAATGCTTTTAAATACTTTCACATCTTGCTTATCCATTTTTAGAAAAAACATTTCTTCCTCTTAAGCACTAGAGCAGAAGCATGCAACATTTTATCACTTGAAATACACACTCGACCTTCAAGTGGGCTATTGCGAGCTACATTCCAAAACATGGGTGGGGCCAGGACAATTTCTTTTCCATTTAACTTAAAATATTTTAAATGGATGAAAATGTTTAAGGGGGAAATACAATCTTTGTTCACTCTTTAATTACATTTAGAATTAGGTCTGGGGGCAAATTCTGAAATTTTTTTAGGGCTTTACCAGTAGTGGAATTCAAAACTTTTTATTACCGGTTCTGTGGGTGTGGCTTGGCGGGCGTTGCAGGGGAAGGATACTGTAAAATCTTAAGTCAGATTTGCCGGTTCTCCATACTATTCAAAATTTCTGCTACCGGTTCTCCAGAACTGGTCAGAACCTGCTGAATACCACCTCTGGGCTTCACCCAGTGCTTTGAAAGGCTATGTATTGCCTTGAATAATTGCTCAATGTGAATCCTTGCACCAGGTGTGTCTGCACATTGTGGTCAAAAATTCAAGATGGTTTTTAGGACAATGAGGTCAAAACTCTACCTCTTTTGATATGCAATGTGTATGCGGCACATATAAATATAAGCAGAGATTTGATGGCACCTTTGTGGCCGCTGTCATGACATTTTTGAGCATACATCTGCAGGTATGCTGAAAATACTTGTGTCCTGCACTATTGTCATAATGCTTACAATGACTTGGTGAAGAAGTGAAAAAGCACAAAGATTTAGATACCAGCAGAGAAAAATAAGGGCATTCTAGAAAAAAAAAAGACTGAAAGAAAAGCACCACATTGTTAATTGTATTATACTGATGCCTAGAAAGCCTTCCAGCCCCAAGCAGACTGAGATAGGATCCTAAAACCTCACCCAAAGGGAAAGGCATTGAGCCAACATCTAGTTAAAGCCATTCTTAAATAGATATGTGAACCTTAAATTACTTTGGTATTGAATGAAACTGGACGGTCAAGTTTCTGTGAAAGACATTTCATCAACAGTATGAAATGGCTGCCAACTTAGTTTGAAAATTTATAGCTTATAAGTGCTTTGTCAGCTCCAGTTTTACCATATCATTACTTCTAGTAAATAGATGTGAGGAAGAAAAAAAAAAGCAAAAATTTGAATTAACTCACTAATCTCAAATGCCAACAAACCACTGTTATTTCCTCATGGACCTTAAATGTACAGGTCCACATTATTTAAACATTTATCCTCAACCCAAAGGAAGCCAGAGTTTTTAAAAGCAACTTTGATTTTCATAATTGTGGTTTCTTTTCAAAGTTATACCAGCATAGTTATCCATATTCCTAAGAGTTGTATATGTATATAGAACTAGAGCTTTATGCTCATTCCTAAATATATGTGCATATTTTCTGATGACTTTTTATGAACTCTTTTATAAACTGGTTGTCTGATTTTTTTGTCTCATGGGCTTTACTAATAATGTGAATGCAAAACCATGCCTCAATTGTGGAATGCAGGTAGTCCTCGACTTATGACCATAACTGAGCCCAAAGTTTCTCTTGTTAAGTGAGAAAGTTAAGTGAATTTTGCTCCATTTTATAATCTTTATTGACATGGTTGTTAAGTGAATCACGGCAGTTGTTAAGTTATTAAATGAATCTTGCTTCCCTATTATCTTTGCATGTTAGGTCACAAAAGGTGATCCCATGATCTTGGGACACTGCAATCATCACAAATATGAGTCAGTTGCCAAAGGTCTGAACATGTGACCGTGGGGATGCTGCAACAATAATAAATGTGAAAAGCGGTCACAAGTCATTTTTTTTAGTGCCATTATAACTTTGAACGGTTGTCCAATGAACTGTTGTAAGTCAAACACTACCTATAAAGCATTTGGATTACCTGGTGCCTCACCTGAGAAAGTGAAACATTAATTCAAACAGAGAACTAACACTAATCTAGCAAGATATGAACCATCACTTGATACCATAGCATCCTCTTTTAATGACCCCATAATCCCTTACAGTGTAGAGTCTGGGCAACTGAATAGAGGTGACTGTTTATTGGCTGGATGCCCTTCCTGTCACCAGTGCGGAGATTTTTTTCACCAGATATATTCTCAGTGTGCCCAGAGAGAGAAATATCTGCCTTTACCTAGGATCGAACCAGCCTCCTGATTGTGAGGCAAGAGTTCCACCTCTAGGCCACTGTACCACTTGCTTCATTCCATATATAAGTATGAAATTATAGGCATTTTTTTTAAAAAAAGTAGCTGAAATGTGAGCTGTTCTGCCATTTTTGGCTTTGTCTTTCCATCTTTAAATCCCTTCGAACATATGACCCAGCTCTTTCCCCTGAATCTAATGAGAACATAAATTAAGCTGTTTTTCAATTTGAGCCCATTATGAAACATTTCATTTTATAGAGTTAGATATGTCAAGGGTGCTGACCCGCTTTAATGAAGTATTCTCTGCATTAGGGTCTGGGAGTGACTAAACTGACAAAGGTACAAAGTTTTAAAAGATTAGTTTCCTGTCATTTCCAATTAAATGCTATTTCACAGGCTTCTTCAAATGATGAATGTAGTTCAAAAAAGAAAGAGAGGAAGCTGAAAAGGAGAAATGTAGAAATAAAAGAAAAAGGGAGGTGCATTACACACATACACACCTAACTCCCTCTCTGTATAAAGGGATGTTCTAATAAAAGGTTAATTCTCAGCTTATTTATTTTTGCCCATTCTTAAATGAAAAAAATGTTTGAAATTATGCAGTTGTCTAGTTGAAAAGTAACTTAGCAACAGGTTATTTTTTTGATACAGAGATTAGGCATAAAATTTATACATGGAAGGAGTACCTTACAAAGGACATGAACAGCATTGCTCCTAGGCTGGTCACATTGTCTGCCTGCCTGCCTGTCTCCAGCAAATCCTAAATTCTCTCACCTTGATGATGATATCTAGATAAATAATGAAATGTCTACAAGGAAACAGCCAGTGATGGGATTCAACTCGTTCATACCACTTCAGTTGAATTGGTTGTTAAATTGCTAGCTGGCCCTGCCACTCCTATCCTGCCTCTTCCAGGAGTCCCCATCTGCCTCGTTTTGGCTCCCAGGTAAGTGCAGGGAGGCCTACTAGGTCCAAAATGGGGCATGGGAGGTGCGGTGCCGCCTCCCTGCAGCCCATGTTTGCTCACAGGAGGCTGCAGGGAGGCCTACTAGGCCCAAAATGGGATGTGGGGATGTGGCCCAGCCCCCCTCTGGCCGGTTTTTGCTCCCAGGGGGTTGCAGGGAGGCCTCCTAGGCCTAAAATGGAGTGTGCCCCCCCCGCAGCCCGTTTTTGCTCACAGGAGGCTGCAGGGAGGCTGAGTGCTGTCTGCCACAACCCATGGCCACACCCATCCAGCCGGTCATTAGAGCAGAGAACCGGTTGTTAAATTATTTCAATCCTACCGCTGGAAACAGCCCCAAGAATACAACTCCTAAATTTCATAGTGGTCTCGGTGTTATCAAGATCACATCTCTGCTGCCCCCTGTTGAGTCAATAGGTCTTTGGGTCTCTTTCTCTCTTTCCATTATAATTAGTGTTACAAAAACTGCTGCTCCATATATGTTGGCCAAGTATCTGTATTTAAAAAAGAGATTATATTTCATACAGAAATAATTTCAGTTGCCTCATTGCGCTGGTGTATAGATGCTGTCTTCATGTGTGCTCTCATTTTATAAAAATGGAAAATGAAAAGTAAAAATGTCAGTAGTAGAAGATAGAATATAAGACATTAAGAAGATACATGCCACCTGCAACTTACAGCAAGAGGATAAATCCATTCATTTGACAAAAACAGGCAGGCATAAGCATTCCTGCTTCCAATGTTCTTCCATCATCCCAGTGCCAAAGAAGCCCTCCATCATGGAACTGAATGACTACAGACCAGTTGCTCTAACATCTGTAGTTATGAAAATCTTTGAAAGGCTTGTGCTGTCTCACCTGAAAACTATTAAGTATGGGAAATAAGAGGCTGAACCAGGGCTTAGTGCAACAAGGTTTATTTACAAGGGCTGAACGTGCTTGCTCAGACTGGGACTGGCTCGCAGCGAACAGCTCAAGGGCTGGACCCAGCAGCCTGCTTTTATAGCAGGCTGCTGGGGAAACCCAGCCAATGAGGAGGGGCAGCCGCCCCCGCAGCGCGAACGGACCTTGGTGGGAACTTCTTCAAGGTCCAGGGACATAACACCCCTTCCCCCCAGATGCGAACACGCATAGTCCTTGAGGTATACGGGAGGCTTGTGCTGACGCCCAGAGCGGCGCAACTCTGGTGTGCTGTTCAGTGGATCAGAGTCCGTTGGCGACTGTTGGCTCGATGATGAGTCCCGAGTACCACCCTCGGTCGGAGTAGGTCCGGGGTCAGTAGGGCTGGACGCTGGGAGTGTCCTCACGCCGTCTGGCTCGGATGGGTTGGACGCTAGGTCGCCGCAGTCATCATTTGGATTCTCTGGTCCGGCTGGAGACGTTAGCAGGTCATCGGAGTCGATGTCGCTGTGTGGAAGTTGCAGCGGACTCTCACCGGTCTGTGCCCCCGAGTCGCAGCTGACAAGGGTGCCCTGGCATCTCCGAAGCTGGTCCAGATGTCGTCTCCAGACCCGGCCATCTTCCAGCTTAACCCGGTATGATCTGGGTCCTGTGATGGCTACGATTTCTCCCGGGATCCACAATGGGTCGCCAGCGAAGTTTCTCGCGAACACGGGTTCCTGCAAGACAAAATGCCTACTCCCCGATGTGGAAGCGAGAGGAGAGTCAGGGCAGTAATGTGGGTGGAGCCTGTCCAATACAGTTCGCAGGCGTCTGCCCATCAGAAGCTCGGCCGGGGACTTGTTGGTTACTGTGCAAGGGGTTGAATGCTGGCTTAACAGGAAACAGGATAGTTTGTGGTGCCAGTCATCCTTGTTGAACCTGGCCAGGGCTTCTTTAGTGGTCCTAACAGCTCTCTCTGCTAGCCCATTACTGGCAGGATGAAAGGGGGCCGTGAAGATGTGACGAATGCCCAGGTTGGCCGTAAAACGACTGAATTCGGTTGACGCGAATTGGGGACCATTGTCGGAAACAATGGAGTCTGGTAGACCGTGCGTTACGAACAGGCGAGTCAATGCCTTGATGACTGCTTGTGAAGTGGTCGTGGATAGTTGTGCCACATCAATCCACTTTGAGTAAGAGTCTACGACCACGAGGAACATTTTGCCATGCAATGGGCCCGCGAGGTCGATGTGAATCCTGGACCAGGGTGCGTTGGCACTTTCCCACTTGGTGGGGGTGGCAATTGGAGGGGATGGACGGGAAACCTGGCAGGGATGGCAGGAGCTTACCCATTTGTTGATGTCCTCATCAAGGCCGGGCCACCAAATGTAGCTTCGCGCCAACGCCTTCATTCTGACGATGCCAGGGTGGCCTTCGTGCAACGCCTCCAGCACTCGGGTACGCAGAGATGTCGGGATGACCACTCGAGTGCCCCATAGCAGGCAGCCCTGTAAGCTCGACAGTTCCTGTAAGCGGGTCTTAAATGGCGTGAATTTAGCTTCAATGTCACTGCCCGGCCACCCCCTCCTCACCCAGTCCAGTACCTGGGCGAT